CTGAGACTAAACAGTTCACACTATTATGAAATTGAATAAATTCATCATTAAAACATTGTTAAAGTATAATTTGAATTCTCTAACACTTGTTATGTAAATATTTAAGGGTCCAAAACTCCACTTGCTTATTTCTCATTATATATATATATATATCTATACACACACACACACACACACACACACTGTGTATATAACCGTGAAATAACTTAAGTCCTGACCTTAAGAAAATTTGGGCAGAATATCCCCATAGGCGCTTGCCTGCTCGAAATTCCCCCTATCAAATGTCACAGTGAAAATCTGAAACATAATCACATAAGATACTACGGAGAGTTCTTAGTTCATTTGATCTATTATCGCTTCGGTAAACACCTTTGAATAGATAAGGCTCTTCAATTGTCTCGCTCAATAGAAAGGAACACAAAAGAATGACCGAGTTTTCTAAAGCACGTTTTTGAGATAAAAAGCTCGTTCACATGACATGAAGTTTGCATTATAAGCATACAAGGTCTCGTACACGCCAGCAAGCATTGCGAGACTACAAAATGGCAGCGCCCTGTCGCCGAATGTAAACAAACCGCGCGATTGCATAAATGCTTATCTATGGCATGGAACACCAAAATCCAATAAATAATTAAAAAAATGTGTTTCTCTGGAAGAAAACCAGAGGTTTCAGGATTTTTTAGAAATATCCGGATTTCCGGATATATCCGGAAGACTTTCATTATTATTATTATACATTACAGTTAACCTTATGATCAACTGATCACAATCTAAAATGCAGATTTAATTTTAAACCTGCATTTTATGTTAGGAGTAGATACAAGCTTTAAATGAAACTGAGGTTATAAGTGTTTAAAAAGAAAAAAAAGAATGTTCTATAGAAAACTATGCTATCAAATGTGATAACATAAGCAACTGTGGGTTAAAATTCTAATAGATACCTCAAAACTTCACCCTCACATTAAAAAAACTGATAGTTTCAAACATTATTTTACAGTAATTTGCCAGCTGTGCTACTATACGATATTAAGCATCATAATTATATAAGATCAAACAATTACTATATTCAATATTTTCATACCCTTTCTTCATATACTCAGCATTTAGTAAAGATTAGTATTTATTAAAATAAATGTAGAAATGTCACAAAGTGTAATATGTCTAGAATAGGAAAACAAAAATTCACAATATTTCTTTACATGTGATAATGATGTTGCAGAAAAAATAATTACACCTTTACTCTATTAACTGAACAATATTCTTACATCTAGAGCTTTCCTAAGGCTAATCCAACCAGATTCTGGATTGATAGCAAAGTAGTCAAGGTCTGTAGGGTCATAAGGGGCTGTAAGGTTATAGACAATGGCTCCATTGTTATCGGCATCTTCATCTGATGCAGAAACTCTCAAGATGTTAGTGCCAATGGCTGTGTCTTGTTTCACATTCTCTCTATATTCTTGTCTGTCAAAAAGGGGAGGGTTATCGTTGATGTCCGTAATTTCGACTTTGAATGAACAAACACCTTCTAACGGAGGATTTCCTCTGTCCGTAGCTTTGACCGTCACACTGACAAAACGTCCATCATCACCTTCTCTGTCGAACACCTGAAAAATAAGGAATAAAAAGGAGAAGCTTATAGAACTGCTTCAATATGAAGATTTGTCAATAAACTGATGTCTGATCACAAAAAATTGTCTGCATATACAAAACCATGTTGTATGTTAAGACCAAAACTACTCAAATTTACATTATCTGTTTTTTTTTATATATACAGCTCAACTTTAAAACATAAGTATGAGAGCTTTGAGTTTTTCTATATTGAAAAGTGAAACAACCATACACACATAACAGAAAACATACTCTGCATTTATTTTACCCTAATTTTCGGTATTATTTGTGCAACAAAAACTCCAGAAAGGTAAAAAAAAATGAAATGTTAAGCAACTACAAAAACGTGTATATTCTGGATGCAGGTTGTATATGTTCTTACTATAGAACTTTGTATTATCTTTCTTACACATGTGCATAAGTATGCCTTGAAACCATAATGCTGAATAAAAGTCAGAAAGCTGGATGAAAGTATCTGTTTATAAGCAAGTTACAAAATTGATAAGTATTCTTTAAGTAATTGAGTGAAAAATTAATTAAGGATCAAGCATGATGTCTACTGTATCACCTTAAAACATGGTTATAAGTAACTTATAGCATTTTGTGAAATTATAAAAAAAAATCATCACTTACTTTACCCAAAATGTGAGGTCCCCTCTAATGAATAACTCCAATCTCAGGAATATTCTCATGGCATTAGTTTCAACAAAAATAGCAAATTTTTTGACATGTGGTGTCTAGTGTATACTTAAGAAATTATTAAAAATACAATGTGAATACCATATATGGGCATTCAGAAAAAAATAAAATTATATTTCATATGGGTATATCTCATCAGATTACAACCGACAAATATACACCAATATCAATTTCTCAACATAGTCTGCAAAATATGTTTACCTACATTTTACAATCCCAACTCAATACAGCTACTTTAAAAGTGTAAGTTGTCTGTGAGTGTTGACTATGCTGACCATCCTTGAGAGGACCAAAAAATATGAAAGTGAAATGGCATGAGGTCAAAACTATGACCAAGATGGAAAATGTGTTTAACCAAACTTCTTAAATATAGTTAGCAAGCAATAAACAATAAGGAAGCTGTAATTATCATAAAGCATATATTCTAGTGGTTCCGATTCATAATGAACTATCAATGTGATCACTCTTCAGTCACGACTTACTCACATCCAGAAAATGGGAAAGGAAACCATTTATTTTTGTACTTTAAATTTTACTTAAAAGTTTGGATTAAAACAAAAGCATTCATCTAAAATGTGTATATCAGGTGTTGAAAACCACTGTACCACTTTTACAAACAACACTAAATTTTCAATCATACACATTTTCTTACTTTGTTAGTACGAACTTCTCCAGTGATTTCATCAACAATGAATTTTGTCCCCTTCTGATTTGGCTGCTGTACTATGGTATAGCGCACTTGACCATTATGGCCTTTGTCTTGGTCTGTCGCTTTGACCTATAAACAAACTACTAATCAAACCTCAATTTCTAGGATAACTAATAAATAAATAAACAAACTCTTTGCTTATCAGAAACAGCATAAACCTTGTAGTAAAAACATAAAATAAAAAAAGCTTGCCCAAAGGTTATTCAGGCCATTAGAATTTTATTACATTCTTGATCACAATAATGCTTACATGTGTATTTTGTTAATAAATTTACATTTTAAGTTAACAATCCATATGTTGAAAACAAGAATCATTTATATTTTTAAAGTAAGATAGCTAGACGGTTCATAGATAGTTTCAAACACTGACCACAAAGGGTTCCTTTAGTGTTTAAAGTTCTAATATCATATGTAGATACACCACACTTTGTGTTTTATACTTTAAATAATGATACATGTGAAAGGATTATTGAACAACGTTTAGATAATCTTTCAAAGTATGGATAGGAAATTCAACGGAAAATTCCCTTCATACTTTTGTCCATCAATTTCTCATTTTTGTAGACAAGGTTACTAGCAATTAAAAAATAAATGCATGTATATGATGGAACAAAATTATACAAGACTACTCATCATATACATTTACAAATTTCTAAAAATACTGTAATGTTTGTAATTTCTACAAGGCAACTATTAAGAGAAAGAGGAAGAAGTAATTCTATTTTTTAAGTATCCAACAGTCACACTTTTTTTTTTTTTTTTACAAACTTGCCCAAGTCAAATTTGGGTAAAAACTCAATATTTCTATAATAGCAAAGGACATGAAAAAAGTCAAGGATATATAAATTAAACTGAATTTCTGGTACAATATGATTTGTTTGCTTTTTTCTTTATTAGAAGTTTTCTAAATTACTCAATTAGAATTAAGTTATCTAAGTCTGCAATTTAACTTTCAGCAAAAGAATAAGAGTAATAAAGCAGAAAAACAAAACAAAATAAACATAGAAGAACCAGTTGTTGGCAACACTTGAGTTTCGCTATTACCTTCCATATAAGCAAACAAGGAAATTTCAATTTGCTAATATAAATAGCATCTCAGGTTAATTTGAGCTGACCCTGTTCATATTCAGTTGACCCCTTTTATGAGTTTAGCAACTTAACTTCTGTGCATTAATACAACAGGATCAAAACTGCTGTAGCCTTTAAAGCTTAGGACATGCTATACATAATAATATGTAAGAAAGCTCAAATGCATATATGTACTGTAGGTAACGTAAGAATTAGTTAATTCTCCATGCTTCACAAATTTAATATTGTTAATAAATGTTTAAATACATTTAACTTTTATTGTTGTTGTGTTTTTACAACAAATAAGTTACAGATCTCAACTACTATGCAATATATAGTGTATAAGCAACTTTGCATTACCAAAAATAAAAGCAAGCATTTTCAATTTCATATGGTCACCTCTCAAAGTTAACAAACAATTTATAAGACTTTTGTCAGACAAATCAAAGTTACTACTTCAAACATTATCTAATATTACAATTAGAAAGTGGAGATGTAAAAGGTAAAACTTATAACAACAAATTTTTTGGTGACTATATAAATAAAAAAGACCCCTATACTATTTAGAAGCTACATTCAAATTATATAATATTATTGGTACTACCAAGTCAAAAGTATATTACATATGAACAAGGAGGTAACAGATACACATGCTTTCTTGTTTGGGAAGGGTTATAGTAACTTAAATACTAAATAATACAAAGCATATATAATTTCTGAAATGATTTTAACAATGAAATACCCGGTGGAACCAAAATTCACATCTGTGATAGATTCATTATTCATTAATAAAAAGTTGTTAAATTAACAATAAGTTTAAACTTTGCAACTTAAGTATTGAACAATTAGGTTCTTAAATAGATCTTATATAGGAGATAGCTAAATATAATTGCAAAAAAAACATTATTAAACCATGTTTATAGATGCAACTCTCCATGTAGAGTTTATGCATATTAGTTCTGCATACTAATGCTTGGAATGTATTTTGATTTGTATGGAAGTAATTTTTAATTCTTACTACCTCCCCCATTAATGAACTCGATACATGTAGTTTTTTGATTATTTTTGTCAGTGCTACAACAAACAGTCCAATGTACATGTATGTGGAGCTTTCCATAACACTTAACTATTTCTTTTATTGGCTAAACCTTTATGTTTACTCAAATACCAAATAATGAGCTAAAGGTACAAGCCATACATACATACACACACACACAAAAGAATAATAATCTATAATCATAACAGTTTGTGGCTCTCAAGATTTAAATTTACCCTTACATTAGCCAAATTAATTGTTTGTTAAAATTTTCTGGCAAAACTTTTGCACTCAAAAAATCTAAATAAGAATGACTATGTCTTATGGAAAGTGAAAGAATGTGTTTGTGTCAAAATTTTGAGAATAAGATAACACACTGAAATAACAACCTTATCAGGTCTATAGTAAAACTGCAGTTGAATTCCATAGTTTACATTTAGTTTTGAAAGTAAATTATTTTCCTTAGAGACATTTTAATAACACAAACTATAGTATCACATAAGCCATCTCAATATTTTTTCAATCATGATAAAATAATTTGTAACTAAAACAGTTAAAAGATTTTTCCAATTTCTAAAGACATTTAATTAATAATTAAAATCACGATGATTGGCCAAAGAAATGTGTTATGGGCTTAAGTTGAAAGGTCACGGGTCAAAGTAGGAAGTGGGTATAGCTCAAGAAATGGCTCTTCATATCAGTCTTATTGTGGCTATTGAAGTAGTAACTTCAGCTGAGTTTAGGTAGTATTGCAATAGTGGTGGACATTTTTATTTTATTGCATTCATCCATAGAGTGCTAGCACACTGTCTGAGATATACAAGACATTTGTGTGCCCTCCACTCATAGCTTGTGTATGTTGTGTTATTAAAAATTAAATATTTTTTGTGTAAGGATGTGGCACCATCTACCGAATGTAGTTAATGTTAATTTACATCAAAGACAATAAATGCTCAATAACAGCAATAATGGGGGTGAAGAGGTTGTGAACCCCTTCCCCATTAACATGCCCCTTGTTCCAAACTCTCATCCCACAAAATTTGGTTGATATATATAAATATAATTTTTACTTTGTAAGTATTTATGTAAATTTGCTGAAGACCAAATGGCTTGACTTGAAAATTATATCAATGTTTATATTAGCAAGACAATGAAGTGAAGACTGAAACTTGTGATATTCAAACCAGATGGTACTTGGTTCTGTTTGAACATTGATGGATATCAGTTTTTATTTTTTGAAACTACTTAAAACGGTCATCTGGAATGATTTTCCACTTTCAACATCTTATATTTTGTAAACTCCCAAGTTACAGGAGGAGTAAGTCAAACTTGGTTAACAAATGTACCACTATATTCATAATGTAAGTAAAAAAGGCTTCTTACACCTTAATAACATATATGTAAAAATACTTTATAAATGTATATAAATAAATAAATAAATGCTTAGCTTTTCTAGTTAACCTTGTAAAGAATACAGGGTGTCCCAAAAAAATGTATACATACTTTAAATGCTTATAAATACAATGTTTATTAAGATATATCTAAGTTTTATAATTCAAGTTAAAGAAGACAAGTGTAGAATCTTTTAAAGTCCCATAACTCACTTAAACTTTCTTTTTTTACTAGGTGCAACTGATTTGAAGTAATGGCAGAAGCAAGACTAAGCTTTGAGAAAAGGAAATTTATCCTAAAGTGTTACTGGAAGTGAGGGAACGTTTTTTTTTTGTTTTTTTTTTTGTTATGGAGATACCTCAAAGATAAGGATTATAGCACAAAACCTGCAACAATCAACGAGGTGAA